CACCCCCCACTTCAACCTCCCCCCTCCCATATCATTCTAATGTGGATACAATACCATTATGCATAATATAGGATACAAGTATACAGCATACCATATTCAAATACATATGATAACCAAGTACATTTTATATATATATGTATATACTTATAAAGAACAAAAATTGAAGATAATTTTTTACGGCGACTGTGATTAGTAGAATATATTAAACTCTTTTTTCCCTATAAATACAGGATATATATTATAATCATAATATATTTCATCACCATGCTCTTAATACCACTCATTCAAAGACAACATAAAGGATGCTATGAAATCATATCTCACCCCAAAAAATAAAAAGGAAGGAAATAAATTCACACTTCAGATAAGGGAAATAATACCAGGTCATAACTCAAACCAAAATTATAAACCATAAATAAAACCTGTATAAATAAATATATACATAAATATATATAATTATATAGAAAATCTACATGCACAGAGTAATCCAGTTAGGGGAGATTACTGCATAAGCACTGCCAAGCCAGTTAGAGTCAGTGGTAGATTAATAGACACGTTTACTAACGTCTTCACAGTTATACATTCTTTTCAAAGTACCCCCTCTTCCATGAACTGTATCATTCATTTGTCGGGTAGTATCAACATGGATAGCATATTTGTTGGAACCCAAAATGGTCACTTACAATATTGAGAAGGGGGAAGAGTTTACCCCCTTCGTGGCTCTGAGAAGATAATAGACCCCCACCCCCCCACCCCTCCACACACACCATCCTCCCTCCACAAGAAAACTGAGGGGTGTTAAAATGTACCATAAGTGAAACTTTAATCTTAATTCAAGTTTCCTTGGACTGCACTGGATTTTCAAAATATAGCAACAAGTCCCATTTAGATGCATGACCAAGACCCTATAGCAAAACATACCTGTACGAAGTCACTGTCGTAGTAGGGGTTGTATAAGACTATTAGTTGACATATTTTCATGAAGAAGTGATTTGTACGAATCATTTAATACTGACAATTCCGTTTCACTGCAATGTGAATGCCTATAGTATAATTATGTTCAGAAGATAATAAATTGTTGTACAAAGCAATAGCAAATGCAGGGTACAGGGGGCACATTGTTCCCTGCCCCCCCCCCCAAAAAAAAATAAAAATGAAAATGGAATACACTTTTATACATACAAGTGTGGGTGTATACCTCCATTCCTACTAAATTCTTTTTCATTTATGTTCTATTCTTTTTTTGGGGTAAACTTTAGAGACAACTATACCATGTAAAAACATGAGATAAGCTTTTTTTTGGGTATATCCTTCCTGACAAATAACCAATAACACAAAATCCTACAATTAGCACTTACCAACTATTTTCAACATTGATTTCATGTATATGTTATTTAAATATCAAGCAGCTTCACTTTTTGTGAGTAATCTAGATTAGACTAGCTTTCAATTTTGGTTAAGAAATTAGAATCTATGGGTATAAACAAATAAAAAAGGATATTTTAAGGCAATTTGAGGCATTTCCCTGACGAAGAAAAAGAAATCAGAGTTTGGGTATGCACAAAAGCTAAATTTCAAACAGGTATTTCGTACAAATGCGGGTTATTTAAAATGCAAGCTCATATTATTTTATTCATTCATCCATATAACATGTTTGAAGAGGTTAGACATGTATTTAAAATGTTTAATGACTCATTAAAATATATATATTTTCGAATCTATATATGTAAAGAACAATTATTAATTAATACTCTAAGTACCACATCTAGTATTTTCAAAATATAAGTGAACTTGGAAGAAATTGTGCTTCTTTCTGATTATTTGAAATACAAAATTGGATTTCTAAATGATTTTTGCCTAAATACTGATCTATGTGTACAATGTGCATTAATAACATAGTCTTCTATGAAAGACCATTGCCTATTCACCTATCATGGTAACTACAGTACTATTATTAGAAGAAGTAGAAGAAACCATAAACCGTGCTAGTGTATTTTCTACCACTATTAGTTTAAAAGATCTGTGACTAAAGATGAAATTGACTGTCTGATATAAATACATATATTTCTGTCAAATAGACAGAGAGGGAGAGATAGAAAGAACGAGATGGGAGAGAAAGATAGATAAAGAAAGAGAGACAGGGAGATAGAGAGAGAGAGAGACAGAGATAGAGAGAGAGACAGAGAGAGAGAGAGAGAGTGAGTGGGTGAGTGAGACAGAGCGAAAGAAAGAGAATGAAAGACAGAGTCAGAGAGAGAGAGAGTAAGAAAGAGAGAGAGAGAGTGAAAGAGTGAGTTAGAGAGACAGAGAAACAGAGAGAGAGAGAGAGAGAGATAGTGTGTGTATTAATACCTGTTAGCATAGGTTTTTTAAAGACATTTTAAAGAAGGGGAACAACTACTTATTGTCATTTTCAATTATTTGTTAGTGTTGCCATGATTTAATAGTAACCATTTGAGAAGATAAAATGTAGCTGATTTAGGAGGAGTGGTTTCCATAGGATCTAATCATGTTTCTCAGCGAAAAGAAAGTAATAGGCAAAGTTGTTTATTTGAAATGTACAGGAACAGATATACAATGTAATTTGCTACTTTAGTGAAATAGTTCTAGACATCCGGAATAAAACACTTCTGTGTGATGTAAACTACATAGATGGTTGTAGTAGAGTGTCAAGCTCCTACATACTACAGCTGCTATACAGTATCTTCCGATAGTTGAGTTAACAATAATAGTAAATGCAGAGTGACCCCCCCCCCCCCCAAAAAAGGGGGCTTATTCTGAAAAATGAGTCCGCCCTATTCGTTATAACTTTGGAACTAATATTTATGAGTTCTCTAACTTTGATGAATCTGGATAAAACAAAGGTTCATCAAAGTTTTAGATGACCGTTCAAATCTAAAATCACAAAAATAAAATATAAATTTCCCTTTTCTTTTAATTGCTTAATGCTTCATCAGTTTATAAAACACTCCAGAAAATTTTCCAGAATTTCATCAATGTTGTTTTACAATTAATGTCTCCATTTCCCTTTTCTCCTTTTGTGAATTAAACACATAGTTTTAATTTTTTGAAATCTTTGGGTTTATTATCTTGCATATTATTATTTTAATTTTTTGGGGGGTAGAGGGTCACACTTTATTACAAATTGATGTAACTATGCTACATGATGATGGTTAAAGCTATTAAGTTTGGACAGATATGGAGAGCGTCATCGTTATGTAACTATGCTACATGATGATGGCTAAAACTAGTAAGTTTGGACAGATATGGAGAGCGTCGTCGTCAAGAGTTTTGGTCGGAAAAGCACTCACAGAAACACACCACTGTTCATGACGGAACACAAGAGGGGGGCAATGCACACGCATACCAGGGCGGGGTACACACAAGGGAATGGGTGGGGTTCAAACGCAAGGGCGGGGTCATCCAGTAAGGGATTGGTAAAGGGAATGAAGGGGGAGACTCTGGATTTAATGAGAAAGGATATTTTCCAAAATAACTTTAAAATATTTTGCTTCAATATTAAAGGGATAATGTGTTTTTTTTGTGGGGGGGGGGGGGGTGCAGGGAATTCGCCCAGAAAAAGACAGATTGATTGAACTTAATAATTTTCTTTTTAAAAAGGTCACCAATTGATTCTCATTTCAATGATTTTCAATATTATTTTAAGAAAATAATTTTCCAACACTTCAAATATATTTAAGTTCCCTTTACAACAAGCTATTTCAAATCTTCCCAAATTTTTTTTCTTCATGACAAATGAAAAGAAATGATCCATAATATCTCTCCACTTTCATGACATTAACAAACAAAATTATACAATTTTCTAAAATTGGTTCTTTGTTAATCATTCAGCCAATCACAAAGCTAGTTTGTAGTTAATCAAAACCTCAAAGTTAGTGGAGGGGGAAAACAAAATGAAAGAAATTAATAAATAGATTACAAGTCACTGGTACACACAATAACTACAAGTCATGCTACTCATGGGTAGAAAGAATAAGAGGTTCACAAATCACACCTGGCACGACATAACACTACCCCCTTAAATTGGCAACACCAACTTCAGCAGATGCATTGGCCTCTATATATATCCTGATAATTAGTGTTAGTGAGATGCTGCTGAGATGAGATATAACGCAGTAACTCATCACTCATGAAGCCACAACAACTTTTACTCCTTAAATTGGCAATGCAGATGCACATTTTTTTTTCTCTCCTATCAAAGAGTGGTCACATGTGACTGAATACTGCTACTGAGGGAGTAGGCAAGTATTTGACATCAATGACAATGTTCAAAACAAACAAACAAAAATCTGCTGAGATCTAGAAGGGCACTATCTCATGTCATTTAACAAAAAGTTACCACCCTTCTAACTCTCAACAGATAATAGAATTTCTAATTGGCTAATTACTATTAACGATGTCAATGTGATCCAAAAGTGTTGCCAATTTAAAGAGTGTGAAGGAATAGGCTGCATCCATCGGCATAAAGAAAAAAATCTGTGGTAGGAATATATACAGTATATATATCGGGATAACATTGTTGCCAATTGAAGGAAAGGTTAAGATAAGTGTTACGATAATGCCACCATAGATAGATAGCGTTAGATGCCTTCTTTCCCAAGCAAGACCAGAGTAAACGATGCCAACCTGATCGAGACTAAGGCATCGCAAGAGCAAAATTGTTGCTGATTTGAGGAATGAATAATGAAGGTGATCAAAGAGAACAAAACGGCACGTTCGGGGAGAGACGATACCCGATGAAAACAAAATGGCCAAATTACAAACGTGGATAGTATGCGTATTAATGTTCACATGCATGCACCTGCAAAATGGATAGATACAGATCTCTGCATGCTAAGCATAGAAAACCACAAGAAAAAAAAATGAGGAGGGGGAGAAGAAGTGCAAGTGTTTGTTTTCCAGAAAAATAGAGGTGAAATCAGTGAGTAAATGAAAAGAAAAGAAAACTCAAAAAGTGTAAATCTGAAAATGAAATGTACCGTCTGTTCTTTACTGGCCATCCGCTTATTTTTCTTTTTCTGTGAATAAAAAGAGTCAAAATAAATAAAACAGAGGACAGAAAATTATGGAAGTGCTGACAATGAGACTTAGAAAAAAAAAGTGGATTTGTCTATTCCTTTGCATTTCATTATGTTTCTTTTCTTTTCAGAGGATATGTTTTAGGCAAAAACATATCAATGATGACATCGAATGAATGAATCAGAATATACTTGAGAATGTAATGATTTTTTTTTTGCATGAAATAATAAATCAGCTAAGATGATCCATTTCCTATGATTCTAGAAAATGCAAAGAAGGAAAAAAATGCAAAAAAAAAATAGAAAGAAAAAACGGACATAGAAGACTTTTGTCATGAAACTACCGCACATGAAAACAAGTAGAACATTAAATTACTGGCAAAAATTTGACTACAGGTACACACATATTATCATGATACTCTTTCATGTTTGAAAATGTTAAGAACTGCATGGGTAAATACATAAATGACATGATTTATAATCAGAACTTCAAAGCAATGGTCAATGCACTTTACAATAACAACATGTTAATCTACCACCATTGCTAGATTAGAATCAACCCCGAAGCATACACCAGCATCATATATAGCAACTTTAAAAGACAATTTGTTATAGTTAAGTTAATCTTGAGTTCTGATTGTGGAATTCCATTTTAGAAAGACAGGCTCAAAGTATTTATTAATTGTTTGCTTGGTAGTGGATGGGTCTCATCAACAGATTAACAAAATAGGTAGGTTATTAAAAAATTAACCTAATAACAACTTGCAGGCTAACACAATTAATAATAATAATAATAAAAATAATATTCCATGTTTATATAGCACTCAATACATCGATCCAAAGATGTGCCTGAGCGCTTTACAAATATATTATTATCCCGGTCATCAGATTCAGGCTTAGCCGCACACAATGTACGCACATTTTCTACTCCCTGGGGAGCATTCCAGCCAGTCGCCATTTTACAAGCGCACACTTGCTCGTCCAACCATATGAACTTTCGTATCCTACCGGGTACCCATTTAACACCTGGGTGGAGAGAAGCAAGTGCAGGTAAATATCTTGCCCCAAAAAATCAAACTACTAATATTTGTGATTGAGATACCATGGTGTGAGAACATGAGTTGGTAGAACTAGCTCATTTCTTTTAAATCTCACATTTTCCTTAATTATTACATTATTTCTACAAAATTAATTTGGCATATATTATTCATTTGTAAGTTCTGAACATTCTGAGCAAGTGTCACTTGATTCTGTGAGAATCTATTTGTTTTTATAACCAGAACTCACGATTAACTTTCATCCATCTTTCAGCATACTTCATCTTAACCAGTTGGTAACTACGCTTGAGATAGCTCAGACTGGAGTCTATGTAAATCATGTGTTTGGAGCCAGGAGGGCAATATCTCAGAGTTAATGCCCTTCTGGCTCTGAACAGACAAATTTGGGTTACAATATCATATCCACTGGTCTATTTAATACTACACGTTTTTCCACTAAGCAATGCTCACAGTGCACTCAGGTTTGTTTAAAGTCAATGAAGAAAAAAAACCCTCTTCCTCAATGAAACAATTAAATGAGTCAAATTGTGCATTGCAATGTAATGTCCTTTGAAATCAAGAAACTATTAAAACATAAAGGTCTAAACTCTATGAAATACATGTGTGTTGACTGTTGATTTGAGGGTGAAAGGTCAAAGATTCTACAGGTGGTATAACTGTACTTTAAATATAATTTGCTGAGAAGCCTCTGATATTCTACGATGTACAAAAAGTAGAACTATCAAATTCATCAAAATGACAAATGAGTTTGGTACGAAATACATTATCTGAATAAAGAGTGATGAAGGATAATATACAACAGAAGTACAGAGAAACACACACCACTTATGGAGAAAGAAATTGAAGGGAAGGAATTTAATAAATGGAAAGTATGATTGAGGGAGAGAAATAAGAAAGAGAGTCATATTTCAAAAGAGAACAGATAAGGGAGAGGAGAAGGGGAAGGAAAATACAGTAGAAAGAGACGGGGCAGAGAGAGAGAGAGAGAAAAGATAGAGAGGGGCAGCAAAGCAGAGACAGAGACATGAACAGAGCAGAGAGAGAGAGAGAGAGAGATGGAGGGTGGGGAGAGAGAGATGAGGGGGGGGGGCGGGGGGTGGGGAGAAAGGGAAAGAAAGAGAGATAAGGAACAGAGACACAAACAAGAAAAAAAGATAGAGAGAAAAGAAAGAGATGGAGACTGGATACATAAGTAAAGAAAAAGAGACAGACAGACAGACGGAAAGACAGCGCACATCTCATCAAATTTATCAGGGCCAGGGACTTGGAAAGGGTGGAAGGAAAAAAAACTGGCTACTGTGTCAGTCTTCTCATTTTACAGAGCCTTGCACTTTCCTCCCATTGCAATCAAGAATTTACAGGTAGGCTGATAAATTAAATGCTTTTAAGTGTGCGAATATGGACCTGTTCACACGCAAAGACCATCGTGTAAAGAAACATCATAATTTGTCTGTTTGGAGCAAGCAGGAGTGTCGTGGCCGAATGGCTTAGGGCACTTGACTGCATGTAGATGTGAAGGTCGAGGGTTCGAATCCCGACACGGCCCTAATATCCTTTGGCAAGATATTAACCTGCACTTGCTACTCTCCAAACAGGTGTTAAAAGGGTACCCGGTAGAATGCGACCATCATTGTTGGTCAAACACTTTTTGAGTGCCAAGTAACGCCTTGCTTGAATGCTCCCCAGGGAGTGGAGACTGTGCACACAGTGTGTGCGTGCGGGCAAGTATTGAATCCAATGACCACGGTAATAGTATATCTTTAAAGTGCTTAGAGACATCATAGATGTATTCAGCGCGATATAAAAGTGGAATATTATTATTATTATTCAATCTTATAATTTGACCCACAATAATAATAGTTTACTGCCTCTGATAAGACAATCTTGTCTGTTCAAAGCCAAAAGGGTTTTAACTCAAATATTCTAACATAGTAAGCAAATAATTACCCTTGGTGAAGGTGATGGGACAAACTATCACTTCCGAGGCGATCTAGATGTAGCTATCTTTCCGAAGCGAAGCTGAGGAAAGATAGCGTATACATTCTGATCGACGAGAAAGTGATAGTTGCCATCGCCTGAAACCAAAAGGTGATTATTTGCTTTATATTCCACATCTAAAACAATTTAACTACAAAAAGAAAAGGACGTGTATGCATCTACATAAAAGACACCTAGGCCCAAATTCACACCCAAAAAGTTCAAGTTTAACCCAACCCCATGAGGGTACGGTGCGTGCATGTGTTTTCCTTAATTGCGCTCAATGGTAATGCGCGCTTAATTACGCCTGTTTTAGTGCGCTTTGGGATAATCTTCAGTGAAAGTGCGTTGCCCTGTGTAGATAGTACCTCTATCTTCAGTGAAAGTGCTTTGCACTGTGTAGATAGTAGTACTATCTACACAGTGTAACAAACTTTTTGCTTCCCCCATCAATAATGGGCGAACTATCTTTCATCACGTGATTTACTTTTGACCAATCGTAGAGCAAGATTCTTAGTATATGGGATATAAACTAATTGAATGCCCTTGTTGCTCCAGCTAGACTATAGGTATATACACATCACTATGACAGCAAAGGGAGTGTTCACAGTTCGTTCGTTCGTGTCTCCTTAGATCAAGATAGTAATGTAAAGTTCCTTAACTTAGAAGTAAATTAAATTAAATTAAGTTCTTCCATCGCTCGATTGCTGCAATGGCCGTTTCATTAACAAGGGACAGGTCTTCATCTGTGCAACCCGTTCCGCCGCACTGCAAGAGGTGGTCCATCGTCTGAGTCTCTCCGCAGTCGCAGAGAGTATCTCCTTCATGGGCATAGCCCCATCTTGCCATATTGACCTTACACCGTCCCATTCTCGTCCGCATTCGATTTAGGCATTGCCACTCCGGCCACTTCAGGTTTAGACCTTTGATGAGTACGGGCTTGACTGATGGTGGAGGATTCTGTTCAGGTGGTGGGACAGAATCGAGGAAGCTGTGTCGGGATATAAGTCGTTTGTGGGGTTGTAAGTATCCGTGTAGCATGTGTCTGTCATCTGTCGCCTGCTTCATCCGTTCCTTTAGGCAGGTGTTAGTGCGCCTTTGGTTAGGAGATCCAATGCCAGCGAGGTGATATATCTCCTCAACTTTTGTTGGTTTCAGACATCCTGTTATCTTTCGATATGTGTTATTGAGTGTGGTGTCAAGCTTCTTCACATGGGCTGATCTGCTCCAAACTGGGCAAGCATATTCTGCGGATGACATGCATAGAGCAACAGCTGCACTTTGTACAGTTTTGGGGTCAGCGCCATAGTGTGAAGATACTAGCTTCCCGATGATGGCATTTCGAGATTCTACTTTGCCTATTGTCCTCTCGATATGTTTCTTGAAGGATAAAGTGCGGTCAAGTTTTACACCTAAATACACTGGATGCTCGCAGTGGTTAAGTTGCACATTGTTCCACTTTAGCTTCAGTTCTCTCTTTGCCTCCCTGTTCTTCAAGTGGAAAACACACACCTGAGTCTTGGATGGGTTTGCCCGTAGGTAGTTTGCTCTGTAGTACTCCGAAAGGCTTGCGAGCGCTGTGTTGAGATGGAGTTCAACAGCTTCGAAGGTACTATGCTGGGCTGTGATGCAGGTGTCATCTGCATAGATGAAGTTTCGAGTGTTCTCTGTTGAAGGGATGTCAGCAGTGTATATGTTGTAGAGTGTTGGCGCCAGGACGCCACCCTGGGGGAGACCGTTTTTCTGTTTCCGCCATCTGCTCTTCTGCCCATCCAGTTCGACAAAGAAGCGTCTGTTCTGCATCATCTTCTGAATGAATCTGGTGAGTTTGAGGTCATTTGTGATGTCATGAAGTTTTGTCTGTAGCCTTCGGTGATTGACAGTGTCATAAGCCGCAGATAAATCCACAAATACTGCACCTGTGATGAGGTTGTTCTGAAAACCGTCTTCGATGTGTTGGGTCAGGTTGAGAAGTTGTCCCGTGGTGGATTTTCCTGGTCGGAAACCTGCCTGCTCACAGTTCAGTTGGCTGTCAACGTGAGGCCCAATTCTGTTGAGAATAAGGCGTTCAAGCAGCTTGTATGTTTGGCACAGGAGCGAGATCGGTCGAAAGTTCTTGGCTTCGTTCGAGTCCTTTCCTGGCTTGAGGATAGCGACGACTTTGGTTCGGAGCCACTGTTTTGGGACACATGTGTTCTCGATGCAGTTGTTAAACATGTCTAGCAGCCATTTCTGTGCTACAGAGCCCATGTGTTTGATCTGCTCCGATCTGATGTCATCGATGCCTGCCGCCTTGTTGACGTGTAGCGTGGAGATACCTTTCTGTAGTTCTTCTTCAGAAATAGGTCTTGTGAAAAGAGACATGTTCTGGTCAACTCCAGGTAGTTTGTGCCTGTGTGAATTAGTCGTCTTGGGGGCCTTTCCATTTTTCAACAGCTGATTTGCTACTTCGTCAGCCGTAACATTATAATGCTGTTGAGCTCTGGTGCTGTCAATTCCGAGCTTGCGTATGGTGGCCCACGCTTTCCTGCTGCTGTGTCTTAAGTCTGTTGTTTCAATCATGTGCTGCCACATCTGCCTATGTCGTTGAGATATCCTTGATATAAGCTCTTCTCCAAGGTTGATGGTATCCTCTGAGAAGGCATCTGTGTCGTAGGCTGTGGTGTAGTTTGCCAGAAGCTGACTTGATTCCTCATCGATGCCTGGAATGTATGTCGTGCGGCAGCCTCTTGGGATATGTGT